CTTTTTCTCCCAAGTACACATATTTCAAATGTGTTGGGAGTGGTTTCATCTCAACTTCGGGGGCCTGCAAAATAGAAGGCAAAGGCTTTTCCTCGGGGATGGTTAGTGGGAATGCTCTTGACCCCGGTGGCATAAGTGGAAGTTGGAAATGGTTATCCAACTCCACCATCATGGCTTGCCTATTGGGGGTCAAAGCAAGTTCTAAAGAATTTTCCCCGAGGTCATTCTCAATTACACTTAGTAGGTCATCCTCCCCATTCATTTCAAAAGTATTTTGCACAATGGGATCTATAACATCAATGGCAAATAGAGAATGATTTTCATTTGGGTATTTCATGGAGTCGTAAATATTGAATTCAACTTTATCTCCATCAAATTCCAGAGTTAAAGATCCGCTAAAAACATCAATTTTAGCTCTAGCGGTCTTTAAAAATGGCCTTCCTAAAAGGATAGGAACCGCATTCTTGTCATTTTCCATTTCTAAAACATAAAAGTCGGCGGGAAAGATCAAATTGTCTACCATAACTAGTACGTCTTCGACAATACCTTTAGGGTAGGCGTTTGATCTATCCGCAAGTTGGATAACCACTCTGGTTTCGTTTAAAGGGCCAAGCTCAAGTGCTTTATACAAAGAATAAGGAATAACATTGATTGATGCTCCTAAGTCTAGCATGGCCTTTGAAAACGTAGTGCCGCCCAACTTACAAGGTATAGTGAACATTCCGGGGTCATTGTATTTCTTTGGGAGTTTCTTTTGAAAGACTGCAGAAACACGTTCACTAACTTGGACTTTTTGTTTTCAATTGAGTCTATGTTTTCTTTTTATTGTACAAAGCTCTTTGAAAAATTTTGCAAATCTGGGAACACCCTTTATTAAATTAAGAAGAGGAATATTTACCTCACACTTGGAGAATGTCTCGTAGATGTCCTTGTCTTTGTCCACCCTCCGTGTTTCCCTTAGAGCTTCGGGAAATGGTGCCTCCACTTCATGAATAACCGGGGATGGAGTTGAAATGTGAGCTTCCTCTTCCTCCGGTTGAGCTTTCTCCACAAGCTCTTCTTCCTCTTCCTCGCCAATGTGGCTTTTGGCTTTCTCCTTGGCAATCACCAATTCTTTGCCACTCCTTAATGTCACCGCATGGGCTTGTTGCCTCGGATTCGGCTCTGTTTGAGATGGAAGCTTTGTTGAATCCTTGGCTTCAAGCCTACTCACCGCACTTGAGATTTGGCTCATTTGATTCTCAAGGTTTTGGATGCTTGATTTTGTCTCATGTTGGAATTGAACCATGTTTTGTTGCATGGTTGAGACATTTGAGGTGAGTGCTCGGATCATGTCTTCGGTGGACATAGTTGAGCCTTGGCCTTGGGGTTTAGAGTACGGTTGTTTTGGAGGAAATTGGTTTTGTGGAGGGTTATTTTGTGGTGGGTTTCCTTGCGGATTCCCATATCTCAAATTGGGATGATCTCTAAACCCGGGATGATAAGTGTTGCCGTAAGAGTCATACCTCTTTTGGTTTGGGAACCCCAAAGCGTTGACCTGCTCGGGGTTTTCTTCTTGAAGGCTCGGGCATGCATCGGTGGGATGGCCTTGTTGTGTGCAGATGCCGCAGACCTTGACTTCTTGGGTTTTGGAATTTAAAAGAAAATCCTTTACCAAAGAAGTCAAGCCGGCAACTTGACTTTCTAGAGATGATGTTGATTCGGCCGCCATGACTCTTTTTGTGGATGACCGCCCGTTGTGATATCTACAATTCTCGGCCAACTCCGAGATAAGATTCATAGCTTGAGAAGGAGTCTTGTTAACGATCCCTCCTCCACATGCGGCATTAATCATCCGTCTATCATCATTGCAAAGACCATCATAAAAGTATAGGATGAGGTCTTGCTCCGAATAGCCATGATACGGACAGCTTGCACAAAGTTTCTTGAATCGTTCCCAATATTCATAGAACGATTCATCATCTTTTTGCTCCACATTGCTTATTTGCTTTTTTAGAGATGAGGAGACAGAGGCTGGATAGTACCTTTCGAGGAAAGCTTTCTTCATGGCCGCCCATGTATCTATACTTCCCGAAGGAAGATAGAATAGCCAATCTTTTGCGGTATCTTTGAGGGAGAATGGAAAGGCCCTCAACTTTATCTGTTCCTCGGTGACTCCATTAGGGCACATGCTCGTGCAAACAACATGGAATTCCGAGAGATGTTTATTTGGGTCTTCTCCTCTTAAGCCATGGAAGGATGGCAAAAGATGAATGAGCCCTGATTTGAGCTCAAATGTATTACCCTCGTTGAGTGTAGGGAAGGTAATACACAACGGTTGTTGGTTCAAGTTCGGAGCTGTGAGCTCCCTCAAAGTTCTTGTTTCTTGAGCCATAGTGCTTGGCTCTTCAGATTCGCTAGAACTAGAGCTAGCGTTTGAGGATTCCTCCGAGGGTATGTGCGGAATTAAATTTCTCAACCTCTCGAAGGCTTGTTCTATTTCGGGGTTTGCTTGATAAGTGATTTCGTTTATAGAACGATATCGGAAGGATCTTGGACCTGAAATGTTTTTATTATCAGCCTAGATCAATAATGGGCTGTGATCTGAGGGAGTTTTGTGTTCAGCATAGAGCTCTGAACTGAGTCAAATGTATCAAGAATTTTTTTTATTAATGAAGCATCTGTCAAGTCGTCTCCATACCCAACCATTAGACCTGACACCATCCCATGAGAATTGCGGCCCTTTGTGAGGAAGATCAATGAGATTGCAAGTTGCTATACAATCAGCAAAATCATTTGAGCCTGTCAGATTAGGCACTGAGTTACCACTGTGCTCATTATAGGAAAGAATTGCATTAAAATCCCCACCCACAAGCCATGGATCAGTCATAGTATTAGCTATATCACACAAACCCTTCCAAAGTTCCCTTCTTATAATATAGCTATGTTTACCATAAATAGCAGTCATCCAACATTGAAAATAACTAGCAGAGACTTGAAAATGTACAAACTGTGTGTGCCAAATCACATTAGATAAATTCAGAGATGCATTGTTCCAAGAAACCCATATTTTGTTGACAGAAGAGCAAATCACATCAGTAAACCCTAAAATTGATTTGTACTGAGCAGCCTTATCCTCATGGACCATAGGCTCAATGACCTGAAGTTGATTGACTCTTGTTGTACCTAACATATGTCAACTACTTCTTATGTTTTTACTTTGTGTGTGGCTCTTGCATAAGTTGGAAGTCTCAATTGCAGCCTATTGTGGCTCTTTCTACAACTGAATCTGAATATGTTGCAGCCACAGAAGCGTTTAAGGAAGCCATTTGGCTCAAACGCCTTGTCTTCGAGATTGGGTTTTCAAACAGCGAGTTACTATTTTCTCGGATTGCTAATCGGTTATCCATCTTTGTAAAAATCTTGTATTTCAGGATAGAACTAAACATATTGATGTTAGGTTCCATTTCGTACGTGATATTGTGAATGCAGGTGGAGTCAAGCTGTGCAAGATACCGTCCGAGTTTAATCCCGCAGATTTGGGTACCAAGTGTCTTTCTGTTGAGAAACATTTGTCCCGTAAACGCGTGTTAAACTTTGATTGTGGATAACTGTGGGTTGCTTACTAATTGATTGCCCGTTTTATCTTTTTTGATATTCCGGGTGACCCGACGATGATGAGTCACCTCCCAACCTTCTACACCACTTAGGACCAATAAGGTGGAGAATGTTGGAGGTATTGATCCTACCAAGGCCTCCCTTCCATTTTATGAGACTTGCACCCTATATTTTACTCCACTTTGATACCGTTTTCTAAATCCCTCCTAATCAATGATATGCCTGTTTGACTTGCCTGGAGTGAGCACCCATTGCTTGTTGTCCGCTGCACCCTATTCTTGTCTTGCCTTACCCGTGACTGTCCTTTACCACACATGTGATCTTGAGTGTCTAATAGGCAGGCAGCCTACTATATCATTGAGTCACCTTCTTCTTTGTGATATAAGCCTCGTGTGAGTAATAGAGAGATACAATTGTCTTCTTCTTTGTGAGACCAGGCAATCCGAGTGTGGAGCTGGTGAGAGGTGGAGTGGACTATACTTAGTGGTGTGTGAGAGTTTAGCTATTGTGGAGGTTGGAGGCCTGAGCCGAAGACGGAACAATACCTTACACTCCATCAATATGAAAACATTAAGTGTTATATTAAGAAAAATAAATCAATGGTATTACTTTTTGTTTAGTACGGATATTAGTCAATTTAATTTGTAAAAAGACCTTGCAGTAGTAATTGAATGATGTTTGAAATTATATTTTTATTATTGACCTCAAATAAGTATTGTATTTGAAAGTTATGAGCATGTCAGAGTTATTAAAATGATAGTTTGTTGTAAGTCATATTAAATTACTAACGGTTATTACTTTTTTGGTACAAGTTATTGAGCTTTTCCCACAGTAGCAAACTACGTTGGTGTTGGTCTATACCTACGGAACGTTACCAACTACAGTTAGATTTTTGTTGAAATTGCATATATTTTTGTTGGTCTAGCTAAATGATGTCAAAGGTTTTCGTAGTGTTATTATATGACAGTTTGTTTGTAATGCATTATGCATACAATGGGTCTCTATAAACAAGCCTAATTGTGATGGGTCAATCTACAAATGCTTTGGCCGCACAAGACAAGTAACAAATCTTTAGCATGATCTAAGATTTGCCTTCCTCAATGGAGAGCTTGAGGAGGAGATATATATCGATAAACCACTCGAATTCGTTGTAGTACATCAAAGAGAGAAAGTGTACAAACTGAAAGACCCTTCTTGGCCAAAATAAAACAGGCTCCACGACTATGGTTCAACAAGATCGATTCTTCCTTTCGTAAGCTAGAATTAACACAAGTGTGAATGAGCATACATTTTGTACTAAAAATTGGACAAGAATGATTAATTTACTTCTTGTGCCGTTAAATGTTAATTATTTTCTTGCCACTAGAAACAATTAAAATATGATATCGCCACATACAAGGATGCAACGAAGAAATTAAAAGGCTTAAATTGATTGATCTTTGTTTAATGAATTACATCTTAGGCATGAAAGTCTGATCAATCATTATTCAGATTCAGAAGGCATTTGTCACTATCAAGCTAAGTTTGCTCAAAACATCTTACAGAAATTCAAAATGGGGAAATGTAAACCAATAACAACCCCTCTCATTGTTAGAGATGTTTAGTTTTTCTTGTTACACTTCATAGCCACCAGACCCTATTTAAGGGTTCGCCGCAAGCTTGTTGTCGAGGTAGTTCATGTCTGAACCAATTGAAGTTCATGTAAAAGAAAATTATGTACGCGCATATCTAGTAATAAATAAAATGGAAAAAAAATAAAAATAAAACAAAATGGAAAAAATATAATAGCGTAGTAGGATTATCAAAAATTAGGGATGGTGCAAACATAATAATTACCTGAAGAAAAGAGGGAATGAGCACCATATTCCAAGAATCCATGAAAGTGGAAAGGGTGATGAAAAGCTTGGTGCTGAATTAGAATGGCTTGTTCCATCTGGTGACATTTCTGCTGCTGGAGAGTTATTATCATCGCCCAGTTGAGGCATCTCACAAGTTCCAAAACTCATATTATCCTGTGCATTTGGGGAGGTCAATTATATGAAAAATTCTATTTGTACACAAAATGTGTACACACTTGCCACACATTTGTATATAATTGTCTAGGCACACAAACAATGTGTAGACTACGTTGTTGCCTATGTACACAGACAGCTCATGCAGCAATTGTCTGTGTGCAAAAACAATTACGTACAAATGTGTGTCAAATATGTACAAATTTTATGTACACCAATAATTGTTGTAATTGTATAATCATGTGTGCAATGATCTATCGAATTGCACCCTAGTCAATTGTTAAATGTCCCACACCGGAAAAGTTTGGACGAACAAAATGCTATATTAATACATGAGCTACTCCTTTCACGTTGACCTTTTAGGATGGAACCCCGTGTCTTAACATGGTATCAGAGCCAAATCGATCCATGGTGTGGGGCCCCTTATGAATCGTGATGACACGATTATAAAAAATGACAATTACGGCCAGATTAAAAAAACGGACCGATGCAATTCGATATATAAATGCAACGGTCAACATTTCACATTTGCCGTGACACAACTTTGACCATTAATATATATAATTCTCTTTTAATAAAAAATTAAAAAAAAAAAACTAGATTATGAAAATTTACCATGAGACAAATTTAACAATATTTTTTTCAAAAATATATATTAATACATTAATAAATAAAACGTAGTACAAAAAGAACATGTGAATAGTGTAAAATTCAACTCGTTGCATTTATTTAAGAACGGTGGTAGTATACCGTATATATTATTTGGTTTTATAGTTAGATTAGATATTTAGATGGACTAGCTAGTAGTTTGATTTTAGACCTTACAATAACCAATGTTTGCACAACCACAGATGAGATGGCCATTGGCCTCATCAACAGCTTCAGGGGCTCCCCCTCCGTCACTTCTCTGCATGAAATATTCGCCAATGCATTATTAGTAATAAGAAAATAAAATCTAAATATAACTAAAACATGATCATCTATGTTTTGTATGTGTCATATGATTATAATGACCATCTAAGAGTCTAAGACATGGGGACACATGAGTGACTTAAAGAGACATTAATTATTAATGATAATAAATTAGTAATCACTGCCTTCACTGGGTGATCTAGCCCGTACACGTTTCGGGTGATTGAAACTAAATAAAAATTAGAATAATCTCACTACTCATACAATCATACCCATGACTACTCAGCTCCCTCCATTCCGAAAAGATTAACCAAAGTTGACTTTCGCGTGGATTAATAAAGTAAAAAATGTGTGGTTGAAATTTGTGCAGAGGAGAAAGATTTAACTTTAGCCACATATTCCTTACTTTAAATAGAAATGAAAAGTCTTTTTGGGTCATTCAGAAAATGAAATTTGGTCAACCTTTTCGGGACGGAGGGAGTATTATAAAGAGAAATGGTTGTAAAATTTCAGATCATCACATCAACAACACATTATCTGTTACTCTAATTAACAAAATAGTAGGATGGCCAGGTAGGTTAGCACCTTATAAAAGTCAACGGCAATGAAATTGGGCCATCTTTTGCCAGCAGCTTCAAAGCAAGTATACATCATGCTCTTTAATGGTCTTGAATTAAGTTTGCAAGCTTGAGCAAGATCAGGCGCACTAGGAAAATAGTTCATGAGAAGTAGGGACCTTGCTTCTGTATTTAGAGCAGCTGATTCTGCGCGTTTGCTACATGATGATTCATTTGACATCCCTTCATCTCCATCTACTTACCTCAAGCACCAAATATGTCCCAAAATGCATATTATTATAATATATATGCACGGGGTAGATGCATTTTCCATTTTTTTACTTGAACATGCATGCATTTATGATTCATCATATGTCCCAAATGCATATGATTATTATTATAGTATACCCCAAAATGCATATGATTATTATTATAGTATACGTGCGGGAGAAGTTCCTATGTGAAAAGACTTCCGGAATGAAATAAGAATGAATTAAGACTTTTGGATTGTATTATGTGAAACTGAATTGTGCATATAATGATATTGAAATGTGCATTGAGTGAAATTGAAATGTGCAAGAAACTCAAATGTGCATTAAGTGAAATTGAAATGTGCCTAGTAAAAGGTATAAAAATGTCATGACACCGTACTTTTTATTCTGCATATTTCAGTTTTACCTAATACACGATTCAGTTTCACGTAATGCCTTTGTGATGTACATTTTGTGGTGCTCATTTGAATTTCACCTAATGCACATTTCGGTTTCACCAAATGCATGTTCAATTTCACATAATACAATCTAACGGTCCAAATCTATTCTTATTTCTCTCTAAAAAAACATTTTCTCATTTGAACCAAATTCATATACGTACATTGGTTTTCAACAAAATATGTCCATTTGTAAGCCGCAATGCCTTGTGAAGATTCTTCCTTAGAAGTGAAAAGCAGGAGGCGGTGATTGTGCAGTATCATGTCATCAACGTTTGGCCATTCTCCCCCTTCTGTGGGCATTAGAGAAACAGGAAACAAGAACTTCCCAAGTCCAGCCGCATTCACTACTTTGGTTATTCCATTTGGGGTTGAAACGTAGTCCTCAATTATAATGGTCACAATTTCTGCGGGATTTGCTTCAAGGAAGACTTCCACCTCTCTAAGCACATTTAAAGCAGGTTGCTACATGCAAATTAATTTAATGATCCATTGGCCATATTCATCCCAATAATTGACACATATTTTCAATAATAAGTCTTACTACCTCCGTCCCATTTTAATTTTGTGTGTCCTAATTTGGTTTGACACAATCCCGCAAGTCCTAAACTTGCGTGTCCTAAACTTGTGTGTCCTATTATTAAAGTGTCTGAAAAACTAAAAGGTGTGACTGAGAATTGAGTATAATAAAGTGAAATGCTATAAATCGCATATTTCTTTCTAAAAAAAGAAATGTGACACTTATTTTAGGACAACCCGAAAAACAAAGTAGGACAGATAAAATGAGATGGAGAGAATTTTGTGAAAATATGACACATAAATACTTACAAAAGCCGTGTAGTTGTAGCATTTTCCTCCAAATGAATGACATAGCCAAATATCATTGTTGAGATCATACATATCAAGCATCAAACCCCTCACTCCATTCTGCACCATTTACACTTAAGTAGTGTTTATTAATATGGCATTAGTAACTACGGCACGATTACCATGCCTTCTGCAATATTTGTACTCCCTTCGTCCCATTTAAAGGTTTCCGTCCACTATTCTCCGGTCAACGTGAATTGTTCTTAATCTTTTACTTTATGAGCCCGTTTGATAGCACGAAAATCGGCTATTTTGGCTGATTCTGCTGAAATTTATGAAGTTCTGGCTGAATTGGCTGCATTGGCTTATTCTGCTGATTTAAGAAAATATTATTTTTAAAATATATTTTATTAATAAAATAAAGGAAAAATTATATGTAAAATAACTAAAATGATCATCTACAGTAACTTCAGCCAATACAGCCAGAAAAGTAACTTTAACCTTACTTTTTCTGCTTATTACACAATTCAGCGCGCGCAAGTAAAAATTACGTGTGTGGTGAAAAAGTTGACTGACAAGCCTAATAAGCCGAAAAACAGTGTTGCGAAACGGCCTCTATATATCCAACTTTTATCAAATTTAATTTTTCTTGATCAGGTTTTATAAACTTTTAATGTAGTTTCTAAATATGTAAAGTTTACTTACTAAAAATAATCTTATTAATAATAGGGATCAGTTAACTTTATGGTCACTCAAACATCGTAAACCGTGTGAGAACCTTTAAATGAGACGGTTAGAGTACCATCACTTACATGTTCAAGAGGAAAAATATGCAACGAATGGTATTGGAGATAATAATTATAGCTAATTGCATACTTGCATTGACACATTTTCGTACCAACTATATATTGAACAAAAAAATTGTAGCCTGTATTTTGAGAATACTTGATTGTCTCAATTGATGTGATCATTTTAAATGTTGAACGTAATTTACTTTCTCACTACCAAATTGAATTGCATTTTGCAGATTTTAAGTTTGACGTAAAAGCGATAAATTAAGTCATCTTTGCAGATAGTTAAATCAGTCTTGATGCTTAAAGTTTACATATTCAGTTGTTGTGACCATAAAGTCACAAAATCCAAAATAGAATACAATACAAGTTCAATATGCTAAATAAGTGAATAAAGTTAAATTTTGATAAGAAAAATTGATTTTACAAATCATTTTGGGGTGAAGTACGAGTTGGTTACCACTTACATTCCAAAAAACATACTACGTACTTAAGTAGATAGGTTACACATTAGTCTTACCAAACCTCAAACGTAAGTGAGAGTATGCACTTGAGCCATGATTGAGTAGCATAGATTATTTAGTGAGAGTCACAAAAGAATTTTGAATTTAATGAAAATTACAAAAAAAAGAAAAATGATTTTGGAAATATTATTCCGAATTCCGAAAGATGGAAATATGATTTACATTGAGTTGTTGAGTAATGGAGTCTTGCTGGTTTGTTGTAGTCACGAGGACGTTTCCTGTGCTCGACCTAACCCCCACTTGGGCAAATGAATTGTGTGTTGTCAACCATGAATATCGATTAAACGGCAACCCTTTCACCTAATTAAAATTACCCTCGTATCATGCACACATAGACAAAATATTGATGATCGAGTTAAATTAAATAAATTATTAAACATAACATATCAGACCGGATCAGATTAGATAATAGCAAGCCGGCCAGATCATATTAGAACACATTTAGACAATAGTAAATCAGTAAATGTGTTCTCCGATATTAGATCACATTTAGACAATAGTATATGTGTCCTAAAAACGTTCTAAGGATGTTTTAGTTGGATTGGAATTTTCCGATATGACATTTAGATCATATTAAACTGTCCAAGTAATTAAAAGTGTCCTCTGACTATATATCATCGAGTACATGCATGCACGAACCTTATGGAATGGATTAAGTGGCTGAATGCGAGTACATCTTGGAACAAAATCACCTTCCGAAGTGCATGTCTCACAATGTAGACCAGTATCACACCTCTCATTCGATACACATGTTTCTCCTTGCTGTTCCATTCAGATGACCAAAATCCATGTGATCAAAACATGCATTATATATATTATATGCAAATAAGTTACAACTTAAAAGCCCCGGCTTTATCCAATTTTTTATAGTAAATTGAGTGGTACCTTAAGAGCTGCACAACTTATTCCAAGAGTGAAAATGAAGAAAACGAACAAAGAAGCTGTATATATGAATTTCATAGCTCGACTTTCGATCATAATCTGCAATGTCAATGAGTAGATTCATATAATATATACAAATAATACACCAATATTGCATGACTTGGATATGTGACCAACTCATTCATAAATAATGTATGTTTTGAGTACATATGCAATGAAGTGTGTGTGTGGTCAAGTTCATAAGTTCTTAGTTTTCAAGCACGCACACTATTAATTAACATGCATATCGAAATATTGGGTTTTTGAATACTTATGCGACAGCCTAATTAAGGTGCATAAATTAATACACTAACAACGTTGCCGGAACAATGAGAAGGTCCTAATAACTCACAATAACAGTATTAATTAGAAAATATATAGAGAAAATACCTGAATAGGAATAAAACATATTAAAAATTATCTATATAACCCTATACAACTCCCTTATGGGGTCGCCATATGCACATATATGGCTGCCTAACCATTATTCATTTTTGAAATTGGACCATCCACTATAAAAAGGAATGATTATGGGGGGATTTATTTATCTTTTATTCTTTTATAAGACTAAACAAACCCTATTTCAACAACAAAAAACATATTCCGTATATAATTTCAAATCTTCAAGTATATTTTATTCATATTTTGAACAGTTTCTTTAATTATATACTTCCCTACCCTTAATGAATGCTCGCTGGCTAATTAGGCCACACACAATACAAACTTATCTTATTACATCCTTTCTATGAACTCACACGTCTAATCAACTCAAAATGCTCGGTTAATATTTAAAATTTCACTTCTCTCTACTCGACTTTCAATATTACCCTTCTAAGTATTCAGAGTTTCACACAAAATGTGTATTTCCTTAACTCTCTATATATACTACTACCAACCACTTAGATGGATCCTGAATTGATGACCTAGCTATTCTAGAATACTCTACACTCATTTACACTTTTTAGAGATTTCATATATTTTTTGGATGCACTGTAACTATATTAAAAGAAACACACAAGAAGACAGAGGTTCACAATGCACAAACAAAAAAAAAAAAGGAACAAAAATGTAGGTTATCCGACAAGGAAAATTAAACCCAATGCAGCAAAACTAGCGCAAAGACAGTTTACGCCAAAATATCAAAAAACATCCAAAAGCAAACGACCCAACCAAACAAAGAGGTGGTTAGGCACAAATCCCTCAAAACTTTACAAGTTCATGCGGATAAAGATTAAACAAAATCTTATAAACAATACTCCCTCCGTCCCGTTGGAATGTTCTCGTTCACTATTCATTGGTCAACTTAGGTCACTCTTAATCTTTTACTTTATATATCAAATTTTTATCAAATTGAACTTTTCTTGATCAGGCTTTGTAGCGGTATTAATGTAGTTTCTGAATATGTAAATTTTATTTACTAAAAATAAGCGGAGTGTGAACAGGGATCGAGTTGCTTTATCGTCAGTCAAGCATCGTAAACCGAACGGGAACATTCCAACGGGACAGAGGTAGTATATTTGATCCTAGCAAAAACGTCTTCTTCGTTGGGAATAAGGCCATCAAAGCAAGTAGCATTGCATGTCCTCCACTAGTTTGTGCGGGTGGGACCCACCATGCAGTAACCTTATTAGCTATTGTGCATTATTTCTAAAGCATGTCCTCCATTAGGGAATGTCCAGCCATGTCCTAACTATTTTCCAAACGTTTCCTGAAAAAGCACAAGTAAAAAATAGGTGTGGTACCGTTTTCGGACCACCCTTACACAGTGGGCAAACATTAATAATATCTAATCTATGCAAGTTATCAAGAGTAGCAAAACGGTTACGAAAGGCTAACCAAACCGTGAAGGAAAATTTAGGGGGAATATAATTCTTCCAAATGAAAGACATCCACATGTGAGTTCCCCCCTATACTCTAAGAAGGTTGTACACCAACGAAGAGGAAAGCTTGCCATTTGTTTGGCAATTGTTAAGATAGGTCACGGCATCATGGGTGTTGTCAAAATGAGACAAAATTTGATCTCTGATCAACTCAATCTTTTTAATCACTTGGGAGTCTCTTTTATGAGGTGTAAACTCCCAAACACCTCTACTATTAAGGTAGACACCATGGATCCACCTGACCCAGAGATTATCCTTTTTTGTATTGATATCCCAAAGAGTTTTAGCGAGGAGTGCAGAATTCCAAACAAGAGTATCATGAATACCAAGCCCACCTTCCTCTTTAGGGAGGCAAATATCAACCCACACAACTCTAGCATACTTGCACCCCCAAAGGAAGATACGGCAAATAGAAGTGATTCTATCAAGTACCGCTCTAGGAATTGGGAGTGCTTGTAGCCAGAAGAAATGGACACCTTGAAAAACCGACTTAATCAACTCAACCCTACCAGCATAAGAGAGGGTTCTGGTATTCCAAGCAATGATAAAACTGGTAATGGAATCCAGCAAAGGAGCATATTGGGCCACAGAGATCTTAAGAGGGGCCAAAGGAATGCCCAGGTATCTAAAAGGGAAGGAACCCTCTTTAAAGTCAATCATATTTAGAATGTAAGTAAGTTCATAATCGGCCAAGCCACCAAGAAAGATATTTGACTTGTCAAAGTTAACTTTTAGGCCAGAAACACTTCCAAAGTCGTTCAGAGCATCAGCAAGGACTTTAATAGAGGGATAATCGCCTCTAGAAAAAAGCATAAGGTCATCAGCTTAGGCAACATGAGAGATTTTAAGTTTACCACATTTAGGGTAGAACTTAAAGGAGGAGCCTTGGGTTCTAATGTGAAGAAGCCTGGAGAAGTATTCAAGGTAAATAACAAAAAGGAGAGGGGACATGGGATCACCTTGTTGAAGCCCCCTCTTACCTTTGAAATTCCCATGAAGGATCCCATTGATAGAGATGGAGGAAGGTGTAGAAACACATTCCATAAACCAATGGACAAATCTGTTAGGGAAGCCAATGGTTAACAAGACATTATATAAGTGTTTGTCCTTGTTTCAATAATCAAAACAACAAAATAGATAGAGTAGAGAAGAAACGATGATCTCATTCAATACCAAACAATGATCTTGAAAATACACAACAAGGTATCGAGAAAGGATCTCGGCTCTCTCTCACTACAATAATATGCGCTGAATAATCTATAAAAGCCCTACTGCACATTCCCTCTAAAGCACTATTTATAGGCCTAGGGAATGTGTTGATGTGACCTAAGATATTTCCTAATAAGGCTAGTCTAATAATAGCTAACAAAGATGCCAATGAGCTGAAATATTTAGACAAAATAGCTACACAAATACAAAGATATTTAACTAGACTGGACACCATAAAATATCTCCAACAATAAGAAATCCCAAGAAATAGTATCATAGGCTTTTCTAAGATCCACCTGGATCATGGATCTGGGAGATATATGTTTTGTGGAGTAGCCCATAATAAGTTCTTGTGCCAGAAACACATTATCAAGCATAAGTCTCCCATCAACAAAGGCCCTTTGTGAGCACTACAATAAAAATTATATTGGGCAACAAACTAGTATTATAGAGGCAACAAAAATATTTTTGGATGCAAATGGATAGGATTATGTGCAACAAAAATTTAATCGTTGCTTATGTATCGTATATGGGCAACAAATATGTTATCTCGTTGCACCCTCTAACTACTAATTTGGTATTCGTCGCCCATCAAATCTCTTGGGGCTGCAAAAGTTAAAATTTCCTTGCCCATTAGAATGAGATTCAGCAATAAACTCCAAAACTTGTCGCCCCAAGTTAAGAAAATGGGCTAAACTATTAAAAGCGGCCGGGCTAATTCTCTATTCCTTTTCCGTTCAACCCTATGTTGTAAGACCCGAACCGGACTGGGTGGGTCGACCCGGGACCCGGTCAACCGGAGCCCAATCCGGTCCGGTTAACCCTCTGCCCGCTAAACTGATGAAAACCGCACAAACCCGACATTTTTTCAAAAACCGGGAGAATGGGTGAAATGTCATACGGAGAATGGGTGAAATGTCATACCGAGATCTGAGTAAACTAGACTTGATGAATAAGATTCTCAAAAAATTTCATCAAAAAATTCCACCGGGAACCACCCCAAATGACGACGGTCGGACGGAGACTCCTAAATAAGGGCTTATTTGACCTTTTTTTGTTAGTACATGGGCCTATTTGCACCTTTTCCCTTTCATTTATATGTAAAATTATATTTCTATTATATTTTTAAGATAATGTAATGGATGTCAAATCTATTTTAATTTTTGTTAAAACCAACTCTAAAATAATGGTTTCTTTATTGGATTATATTTTTAAGATAATGTAATGGATGTAAATCTATTTTAATTTTTGTTAAAACCAACTCTAAAATAACATTTTCTACCTATGAATTTAAATTATAATATATATATATATATATATATATATATATATACATATATATATATGCATACATATATATGCATAAATATTAAATATTATAAATATATGTGTTGACCGGGTTTTCCGGTCGTTGACCGGGCTGACCCGCCGGGTCCGGGTTGACCCTTGACCCGGCCATTGCTGCGGGTCGCTCTCCTGTCCAATTTTTACAACAGGTTCAACCTCTTCCGTCTCAAGTCTCAACCAGAAATACCGAGATTGAAATTGTGCCGAGATCCCCTCCTACGTTTTTTCTTCTCAATTCATTTCCTCTCAAAGCTCAAGCGTAATTTGATTCCAGGACGCGACTTTTCGGTATGTTCATCCTCTCCTCTATGATATTCCTTCTCAGCTTCTCCGTTCGATAATTAGTAAATCAAGCTAGGAAAAACAATTGTCTATGCGATTGAGCTACACAGGCAATTCGAGACATTGAATATGTTTTTTTCATCTGTTAAATCATCTTCCAATGTAGTCATGGATTTTGAGATGTTAATGGGATAATGGATCAAAGAAATGCAAATTTGGTGTATAATTAGTTTGAAATGCCAAAGTACGTGAGCCGGTGAGCGTATATGTTCCTATTCTGCGAGAGATTTTTGAATAAACTGTTTCCATGGCTCATATTCCTCTTTTCTACTCCTTTCTCTAAACGAG